ATATAATTTTTATATTAATTTTAATCTAATTTTATATAGAAAAATTTAAGAAATAATAATTGAAAAAAGTTATTATTTGATAAATATATTTCTAAATTTTATAAAAATTGAATTAGCAATTATAAAAATATTAAAATTTAAAGTTAACTAATTAAATTATTTACTATATAATTTTTATATTAATTTTAATCTAATTTTATATAGAAAAATTTAAGAAATAATAATTGAAAAAAGTTATTATTTGATAAATATATTTCTAAATTTTATAAAAATTGAATTAGCAATTATAAAAATATTAAAATTTAAAGTTAACTAATTAAATTATTTACTATATAATTTTTATATTAATTTTAATCTAATTTTATATAGAAAAATTTAAGAAATAATAATTGAAAAAAGTTATTATTAGTAAAAAATTTTTTATAAAAGATATATAATAAAATTTTTATATTTAAATAAATTTCAATATCCAATAATTTAATTAAATAATACAAAATTAAAATTTTATTTTAAAAAATAATCTATTAATATTTATTTAAGATATAAATCTTTTTATATCAATTTATAATATTTATAAAATTTTCTTCAAGAACTTATTAATATAATATATTATTTATATTTTTATTAATTTTATAAAAGTTATCAATATTATAAAAGATGAAATAATTCTATATTATTACTTTTTTATCACTAAATTTTACTATAGATTAATATAATAACTTTTTAATAACTTATCTATTTTTTTTCAATAATATTATTTTTCATTAGATTCAAAAATACTAAAACTTAAATTTATTAGATCAGACTATCTTTGATTAATCTTTATAGATTTAGTTTTTATATTTTTCAATAAATTCAAGATGATATTATTGATATTCAGACTTCAGATATGATATTTTTGTTTTATTCTTGTTACTAAACCATTCTTTTTTAGTATATATTGAATGAAATTTTGATATTCTCAGTTTCATGAACATAATTTTAAATAATAATAGTGAAATAGTTATAAAATATAATAAGATGAACTGTTATTTTTTCTAACTGATTATTTAATAATAATGAATAATCAGACTTACTTATATCATTTAAAATATGCTGTTTGCATCATTTTTTATTACTATATGAGATGGAAGAATTAATTTTATGAGTTCTTGTTATTTTTCTTGTGATATACTCATTTTAAAATGAAATGATTATTTTAGCTCTTCAAGAGTCATATGACATTTTAATATTTGTTTTTTATTGTTAAAAAGCTGTAACATAATTTAAGAAAAAAAAAGATAAATAAAACAGTTATTTATTTTGCAACTTCTGTGTAGCACTACTTACCATTTGATCTCTTGAATAAAAGATCAAAAGAAATGCAACACTCATTTGTGTGAGCTCATGTATTTATCTCAAAATTGTGTTTAATAATAGTAAATTAAATTTTAATAAATAAAATTGGTACTATTAATGTATCATATTTATTAATTTTATTAAATTTTGCTAGCTACTTATAAATACAGTATATCGTGATTTAACAATTTTCAATTTTGATCGGCGTTTTTACACATAACCATAACTCTAATTTTCTAAAAACTAGCGCATTATCATTATACATGTAAATAAATACGCATAATTAATCCCAGTAATCAGAATCCGATATATTGTGTTACCCATTAAATCCATCCGGCTACCATTTTTTCATATGCTGTGGCATAACCTTTTTTTACAAAACCTTGTTTTTGAGACCTTTCGAGAGAAATGACTAAAAATTAATGATATTAACAAAAAAACAGCAAAAACAAAATACCATTGATCACTACACAATATGTTACAACCTAAAAAAATTGGAAGAAACAAGCAGGTTGTCCGAAAAAAATTGATAATAATGCATGCAAGATTATAGGACGAAATCAAGAAACGGATTGCGGAAAAATTATCAGAAAAAAGGTATACAGTTTCTAGGCATACAGTTGGAATGCATCCTTGCCATAATTCATTCTTACTTGCAACACCTATGCTTACAGTTGAGCACAAACGAAGAAGAGTCGAATGGCCAAAAATCACCTCAACAACAATTGGTCACGGACCTTATTTTCAGGCGAAACATCATTCTAATTGTTCAGAAGCACAATAACTCAATGATACAAGCACAGCTAACCAGTGTGACCTATTTCCAAAAAAATTCATACATGGGATGGGATTTCTAGCTATGGTAAAACTAGTCTTATTACTTCATGGGCAAGATGAATGCCAAATTTTATGTAAGAATCCTCGAAGAACAACTTCCTGAGGTCGAAGCAATGATGGGAGATAATTGGTGACTCCAACTAGATAACGACCAGAGCATACAAGCTGTTTGGCCAAGAATTTCCTCTGGAGAACGTCCCAATCATAATGGATTGGCCATCCAATATTCCTGACCTTAATCCAATCAAAAATTTATGGAGTCTTGTCAAACGAAACGTAGAAAAGAGAAAACCATGAAATTTGGAGATTTGGAGATGTTTTTATGATCGAGGAATGAGAATTAATTGATGATAAAGTTATAAAGAATTTGGTTTGGTTCGGTCAATGAAAAACGAGATGTAAGGAAATTATCAGATTCAACGGGGGAAAGAATGTATTACTGATTATATCTATCTTAAATCTTTTGCTATTATACGCTTAAATAAATCAAACCTCTTGTAAATACGATCATTGCTCTTTGATTAAAATCACTTGAAATTTCCAAAATCTTTCGCGCCCCACTTTATAATGGATGTATCCTTTTGCCTAACTAGACACCTTCAAAAATTCGTCGACCAGATTTTCCTATAGAGGTGCAAGGTCACAGCATGAATATTATATCAAGCATTTTCACCGACCGCCAGAATGATTAGAACGGGATCACTTTAAGAATTCATTCTCATTGAGATGTGATATTATGAAAATTTACATATAGTTATTCCGATGATACGAACAAGTCAAAACTTAAATGATCTTGTATTTCATTTTGTGTGCAGATTTATTTTCATACAAATTCGCTGTCATAATTTGTTTTATGTATACGTTAAAAATTAAAGTTTGTGAAATAAAATTCATTGTTACACACCACCGATGGCGGCTTGAACATAATTTCCGGTATAGGAGAACGTAGTCCATCATGTGATCAATCCCTTAAATTTTCAGAGATTACTATTAATGATTTTATGATTTATAAGGTCTGAGAAAGGGCAGCGGTTAGGGTAGAGGACAAGATTATATGTAAAGTTGCAGTTCCGACAATTTTAATTAGTATTCCAAGACAGATTTAGGCATTAGTTTTCGAGTAATATTCATTTTTTTATCTTGTGTCGGATTTCTTTTGCCGGGTTGATCAAAAAATTTGCGCACCCTATTAGACATGGATCACATGATGGACTACGCTTTAACCGCTCCCGGTATAGGAGCTGGCGTCTTCTCCAACTGCGACAGATTGGCCGTAATCTCCGGTTTTAGCGGTGGGATTTGTTCCTCCAACTGTAACGGATTGGTTGTCTTGTTGTACATCGATCCAATTGTGATGGATTGGCCGTTCTGATCATAACTAAAAGGAAGAGAATCAGTTAAAGCGAAAAGAGATTGGGAATTTTTTGTTTATTCGAAAGGATTTGTGAGTGTGAATGTTTTTATGTGAAAAAATTTGTTTGTACAAATACATACAACATTTACAACAATGATTTTTCTTATTTTAGTCTCTGTACTTTCACACGAATATTACAAAAAATTTTCATATGAAATTTTTGTGTTATTTTTAATAGTTATTTTTATAATACAAATTCTCATACTAATAATACTAAAAATAGGGAGTGGTTAAAGGGCAGTTATCATGTGCAAATTTTTTTAATCAACAAATCCGACACAAGATATGAAAAATGAATATCACTCGAAAACTAATGCCTAAATCTGTCTTGGAATACTAATTAATATTGTCGGGACAGCAACTTTACATATAATCTTGTGCTCTACCCTAACCGTTACCCTTACTCAGACCTTATAAATCATAAAAATCATTAATAGTAATCTCTGAAAGGGAATTGATCACATGATGATCTACGTTTTAACCGTTCTCTAAAAATAGATATTAATAACAAGTTTTTTATAACATATGTATTGTTTTAATTCTCACAGTAATATTTAATAATACTAAAAATAGATATCTTAATTATGTTAGGTAAACAAAAATAAAATTTGTAAAGGAATTTTTTAAAACGAAAAAAATTTTACTTTATAACATTTGGTAATAGTATATATGTATATGATATTAAACACATAAGTGAAAATTTAACTAAATAAGGGAAAATCATTGTTGTAAGTTCAATATCACAACACGGCATCTTAAAAGTCTGAGTTTGTCTAATTTTCTCTAGAAATACATTTGTTTTTGCATATTATCTGTGTGTATGTTTGATATATTCAAATTTTTCTTATAAAAAGAAGCGTTTGTTCTCTCCAACTCTTCATTATTCAACAACAAAAGTTCGAAAAACAAACGCGAATAATAAATATAAATTTTCAAAATTCAATAAAAAAATAACAATGACTACCTTGAAAAAATTCGTTATGATCGCTTTGATTTTGACAATCAGTCTCTTCGTTTTATCTGACGCGGCTCCTGTTGTTGATAGCATTACACAATCAGCAAACGGTGGTAACGGTGGTAACGGTGGTAATGCCGTTGGAGGAACCGCCACCGCCAATTCTGGATCTGCACCATATTTTGGATGGCCACATTATCCATTTTGGTATCCATATCCATACAACAACGGCGGCCCAGCCGTCGCTATCGGCGGTCCCGCCCAGGGTGGTAATGGTGGTAACGGTGGTAACGGTGGCACTAATGTTGCCGTTCAGGACGTCTACTAATTCTATTTCTATAAACGTAGATTTCATGTAAATGTTAAATCATACAATGAATAATAGATCTTGTTCTATAATAAATTTGTATTTTCTTAAAAATTGGCTAATCGTAATATGAAATTATGAAATTTAAAACTCTACATTATATTCGAGTTTACCAGTGTTAAGCAATATATGATGGGAAGTGTTTTTACGATTGCATGTTGTAGATATATCTTTTTCTTTGTATAGTATATAATGCTAATGCTAATGATAATACATATACCCTAAATGCACCCCCTTGGGACCATATGAAAATAATGATAATTCGTGCATTGAGGGTCTTATAATTTGAGACCGAACCATACATGCTTTTAGATAGTGTATGCAGAAGGTACATTAAGAATGATGTAATAACTGTTATGAGAACTAGAATGGAAATCTAACAATTGGAAGGTTGTAATGGTAATCTTAACAGTAATAATACGATAATTGTAGGTTTCTTTATATTTTGAATAAGCGAAAATGATGATATCTATAAATTATATACAGTCCACCCTTTATAAAGAAATCTATAAGAAGCTCTTGATATAAGTGACTTTCTATTTCAAGAGCCACTTGTAGTAACGTTTGAGATGAATCATAATAAAGTTATTGAATAAAATAATAGAATGTCTGTTTGAAATCATTTTGAGAATAATTCTGTCATGCATGCAAACACAAATAGCAGAAAAATAAAAAAGTTGTTATTTATTAAATTTGCGAAGAAGTTCAACAATACAGTATATCATTCAATATAAAAAACTATTCATATATTAAACCAAGACTAATCAAAAATTCTGCAGATGATTTTTTTTATTTTATTATACATATTTCTGCTAATCTCTTTAACTCTGAAGCTAATAAAATAGAAATATATAAATTTTTGAATAGTCCGACAAAAATAAATCTAATACTAATAAAAATATATTTTTATTTTTAGTACTTGTTATTTTTCTAATTTTCAAAACTTGAATGATTTTATATTCAAAGTTTTTGATTATATAATATTATATTAATTTATTTATCATTACAAATCATTTGAATTCTTTTTAGTAATAATATATTTTCTTGTTTTATTATAAATATTCTTTTTAACTGGATAATAAAAAAAATTAGATAAGGTAAAAAATTGCTAAAGAAATAAGCAATATAAAGAATAATAAAAAAATAAATATAAATAATTAAAATAAAAGAAGAAAAAAAATTAAAAATATTAAAATATTTGTTATACTTTTCTAAATATATCTTTTCTAAATATATAACTTCTTTAAATATATGTAAGATTATTTTGTTAATGATTATAAACAAGATAAAATATGATATGAACAGTTTTAATTTTATAACTTATGATTA